GGGAATTCAGGACGCCGAGGCAGCGCGTACATCCCACGCTGGCGGCGGCGTGAGGCAGGGTCGCGAACTCCGCCCCGCCCGCGCTCTGCAGGTCGCCCCCTGAGTCTAGGAGCAGCTCCAGCAAGGACGAACAAATCTTTTCCTGATGGGACAGATATAGATAGATAGAGAGAGAGACATATATTTGTCTTTGTATATATATTCATATATGTATATATATATATATATATATATATATATATATATATATATATATATATATATATATATATATATATATATATATATGTATATATATATATATATATATATATATATATATATATATATATATATATATATATATATATATATATATATATATATATATATATATATATATATATATATATATATATATATGTATATGAATATGAATATGTATATATATATATATATATATATATATATATATATTATATATATATATATATATATATATATATATATATATATATATATATATATATATATATATATATATATATGCTCAACATCCATTTATTTCATTGTAGGACTAAGGGGGTAGATAGAAAAAAAGAAAGCGACAAACAGGCAGAAAGACATACAGATAGGCAGAGAGACACGCCGACAGACAAAACAGAAAGAAAGGCAGACAGACGAAGAAACGGGCTTTCCTCTTTCGCATCAGCCCAAGCTCGACACAAGCTCTCCTTCCCTCTTCCTCTGCACATTCCTCCGTGTACGCAACCGCGGCCAGTCACTCACCTTCCTCTGTCTGCTCAATATGGCCGCGTGCATGGGCGTGTACCCTGCCTGGTCTGTGATGTTGACCTCAGCGCCCGCGGAGATCAGGATTTGGGTGGCCTCCTGGAGTCCCCCGTGGGCGGCCAGGTGGAGCAGTGTGAGTCCGTCCTGGAAATACCGAGGAGGAGCATAGGGCATAGGAGGAGGGAGGTGGTGGGGAGTGGTGCTGGGGGGGCGGGATAACGATGAGGATGAGGATAATGATTATGATGATAATTATTAGGATGAGGATGAGGATGATAATGACGATAATGATGATGATAATGATAATGTTTATGATGATAATGATGACAATAATAATGATGACGATGATAATAATAATAGTGATAATGATTATGATGATGATAATAATAATAGGAAGGGAGCCAAGACGGACGCGCTCGGTCGCTTGAACATTCTTCGGAAGTAATCATCACGTTCAGGAGGCTAAAACATCGATGACTAAGTACATGAATACACATGATTTTCTTGTTCAAAAACTGGGGTAAGTGATTCATGTCTGCCAGTATGTTCTCTACAACACCATATGCTTTGTACATTATTTGATATGGTAGTTCAGTACGATTGAACAGAACTGTTAACTCTCTCTCTCTCTCTCTCTCTCTCTCTCTCTCTCTCTCTCTCTCTCTCTCTCTCTCTCTCTCTCTCTCCTCTCTCCTTCTCCTCTCTCCTCTCTCTCTCTCTCTCTCTCTCTCTCTCTCTCTCTCTCTCTCTCTCTCTCTCTCTCTCTCTCTCTCTCTCTCTCTCTCTCTCTCTCTCTCTCTCTCTCTCTCTCCTTCTCACTTTTCCCTATCCATTCTTCTAACCGTCACTCTCCCACGTGCTCGCCCTTACCACTTTACACACAGCATTATCAGACACCTTATCTCTCTTTCTCCCTCCCTCTCTCTTTCTCACCTTTCCTATAGCATTATCAGACACTTTATCTCTCTTTCTCCCTCCCTCTCTCTTTCTCACCTTTCCTATAGCATTATCAGACACCTTATCTCTCTTTCTCCCTCCCTCTCTCTTCCTCACCTTTCCTAGAGCATTATCAGACTTACCTTATCTGCGACCTTCAATACACTGCGAGCATGCCAAGGGTCCTCCAGCAGGGGCTTGAGCAAGAGCTGGAAATTTTTAAGGGTTTGCATGAGCAGATGGTCAAGCAAGGCTGTAATGATGATGAATGACTGAATGATGATATTCATAATATCAGATTTTTGCATCACTTTGAACAGCCGCATCCAAAGATTCAGATTGCGGATATTTTGAATGAGACGCTGCATGTCGATTGGATACACATAGAGATAAGGTTACCATAACATCCTTCATACAAAAATGGGATACTATCAGCCAGGCATTCATATCATGCATTTCAGTATATTGTACATATATATATGCTATAATGTAACATCTTTAGTAAGGAAAGATGATCGGGCATTATAATGAGATTGAAATGAAAACTGAAATTGTCTAAAGTTACTGACTCTTTGCCGACAAGCAAAACATGAGCCGTCTTTTCCGACGGCTACGGTTTGCGCAACACCTCTCGCGCGACAGGAATTGAATGGGCGGTAAACTTCTATCGTTACTAGATGCATTCACTCAACCTCGGTTTTTTATGCAAATTCGTACCTTTATTGGGTATTTATATCACCGTACAATCTACCATAAGATATAAAAAGTCATTTAGGTTATGGCAAACGCGACACCTCTCGCGCGACAGGAATTGGGTAGGTGGTAAATATTTATCAAGCTGCCAGATGTATTACTCCTGCCTCGGTTATCTTTCTGCATATCCGTACTTATACTGGATATCTATAACACAGCACAACCCAAAATAAGACATCAAAGTTATCAAGGATATTATATTCCAAAATACTGAGCACCAGTCGAAAAGATAACCAGTACAGTAAAACAGCTAGCCGTCAACAGCGGGTGTTCCCATCATGTCACCACAGTGGGCGGCGCTTAGCGGTCTGTCTCGCCTCCGATAACGAGACACCTTTTGGTGTCGCGGAAAAGATGACACAGGTTTTGGGTGTCGCAAGACGTCGTGCGACACCCTACTTACCATTGGAAAAGATGCTTCCATCCACGTTGTTTATATCGTGTTGTCCAGCCGTTCTCCCTGGATATCGAGATCTAAACTCCTATAATATCGACAAATATCCTGTAGAAGTCCTAAGACTTCCAGTAGCAAATTTTAAAGATTGAGAACGACACACCCATCAATCTGCTAGACCTACACATAACACAATGAATCCTATAAACGATAATAAGCATCAGCTATTCTATTTTATTTATTTTATTATTTTAGATTATATGATCCATCTTCCCGGTGCAACGCCGTCGTCACTGTTCCATCGGTGCTTTTCGTGACGAGATCCTGGAAAGCGACACTATTTCCTTCCGTCACGTCTGTTTTCACAGGAAATGGCACAGCCTCCGCCAGGCATTTCGATTCGAGAAAATTAAGCGTTTAAATTCACACGAACGTAATGAGAACTCGGACTTCACTGTGTTTGCAATACCTCTATGGTTTTCTGATTGTGAATATGCGCGCGCATCTCTTCGTATCGTAAAATTTCATCTGGTTTGTCTCTAGTTCTATGATATCATTATCACTTCTTTCAACATCAACGTAATCATATCTTAGTCGAAAATCATCTATTGCAAATTCGAGGAATCTGATAAACCCATCTGATTGATCCATTTTCTTTTCCTTTTATTTCTTAATCGACCCATGATGGTAGTAATAACTGTGTGGTGACAATAGCAATATTAATAATAATGACAATAATGATAAGTAAAATGAAGATGATAAAAATGATAATAATAATGACATTAAAGATGATAATAATGATAAGAACAATAATACTACTACAAATAACAATTATAATAATAATAATTACGATACTAGCAATGATGATAAGAATACGAAGTAGAAGTAATGATAATAATGATAATATAGTAATAATAATAATAATAATAATAATAATAATAATAATAGGTTGATGATAATGATAAGTGATAACAATCTTATTACTGTTGTAACTTTTTGAGAAATAGTGAAACGATATCTCTATGAACAAATGTCTGCGCATATAAACGATGTAATTAATTATATAAATAAAGGAATACACCAAAGATTTTACACACACACAAAAAAAATAATAATAATAAATAAATAAAACAGAAGATAAAATAAAATTGATAAAATGAAAAAAATGAAAAAATAAAAAAATAAAAAAAAAAAAAATAAATGAAAAATAGTAAATGAGGGAAATAACATGGTGTCAGAGTTTACCTAGTGTCTAGACCCACTTGTCTATTGGCAGCTTCACCTTTTAGGAATCGCCTAAGTGGAGAGAAGGAAAGTAGTGGGTTTTACCTCCGGAAATTCCCAAGAGTTTGGGACCGAAAACACGTAATGACACGCCCTGAGATTTTCCAAATGAGTACGTGACGGTTAGAGAAAATTGATACATGAAAATGGAAAAGAAAAAAGTTTTTACCTTGAGAATTTCCAAGATTTTTTGACGGTAGAGGAGAAAAAAATAAGGTCATCGATAAATATGAGGTAAAGGATTGATTGCACCATATTGAACAAAAAAGAAAAAAAAAATCGTTTTACTTTGAGAATTTCCACGAAATTTGTGACAATCGATTAAGAAAAAACGTTAAATAACATACCGAAAAGTAACAAAAACAAAAACAGAATCGTTTATTTTGAGAATTTCCACGGTTTGTGACAGCAGAGAAAAATAAAAATAAATCACAAACAGATACAGAGGAAGATTGACGGCATTATAGCTAGTTAGTTATAAATTATTAATTTTTTTAATGGGCGGTAACACATACAAAAAGAAGGAAAATAATAATGATATAATAAATGAATAAGAATGAATAAAAATAAATAAATAAATAATCTTTAAAATACTATATTTGACCTAGTCCGGGTAGGAAAAAAAATAATAAATAAAAGAAAAAGAAAACAAATAAAGGGTAATTTTCTATATTACGTCCGCATGACCGATATCGACGATTTTGGTATCGTTGGTTTTATTGCGCGCTAACCCCCCGTTAGCGACAAACTTGGTCCCGATTGCGGGGGCGACGATGTCGTAGCGCCGGACGTAATATAGAAAATTACCCTAATAATTTAACCTCACAGTGAAAATAATCATAGTTATTCACATGACTTTCCATTGCAGGGGGCTGCGCCCCCTGCGACCCCCCAACCCCCGCCGAGGAAACAAAACCTCCACCACGTATTCACGGCAGGATAGAGCGCCCACGAACTAGACGCGGAGCCGATAACCTACAATAACCTAGGATTTTTAAAGTACTAACCTGATTTATTAATGCCGCTAATTACTAGGGAGGGTGCTCCTTTGCCGCAAAATGTGAAGGAGGCAGGGTGCTTTGAGATTGCGCAAAGAAAGAGCCCACGAACATCGAGTGCTCCTTTGCCGCAAAATGTGAAGGAGGCAGGGTGCTTTGAGATTGCGCAAAGAAAGAGCCCACGAACATCGAAGCAGACCAGTCACACCTCTGCCTCTTCTGCTTCCTGACCGCCACGGCCCTATCACACCTGAATCTTTTCTTCTTCAGGTCTAGGCGTGCTGGCTGCCCGCACCTGCCGCAATCTTTCTCACGACGAAGGAGGCCGTGGCGGAAGCACATATCTAGCATTTTTTCTTGGCTAATGGCAATCTCGCGCAGAAAATCCGTCTCGGAGTACGAGCACCCTCCACACTCGGCCATCGCGGCGACTATGACTGACTTCTGAACGCGACGGTTATTTCGGTTAGGAATACGAATGTCGTTATTCCAGAGGAAGGGAAACTCGACTTTGAGGCCATCGGTGTAACATCGAAAAAGGCGCAAAACCCGCCGACGAGGGCGGGCCACCGTGTTTATCCTTATTATACTACAATCGTCTCTATATACAATGCTGACTATAATAAGGTTAATATCCTGATTCAGTGAGAATCTTACGAGGTAATACGCCCCCTGCTCTGACATCGACGATGATTGTGTAACGCTCTAGCCTGCCGTGAATACGCGGTGGAGGTTTTGTTTCCTCGGCGGGGGTTGGGGGGCGGCAGCCCCCCCAGGGGGGTCGCAGGGGGCACAGCCCCCTGCAATGGAAAGTTATGTGAATAACCATGGTTATTATGAAAAGTTATGTGAATAACCATGGTTATTTTCACTGTGCGTTATATTATTAGTGCTATTTAACCCCGCATTTTCCCTGGAACCTTTCATGCCCTCCCCTGCTATCGGGGCCAAGTTTGTCGCTAACGGGGGTTAGCGCGCAATAAAAACTATATATTTGCAATGTGGAGAGTGAGAGGAATCCAACGATACCAAAATCGTCGATATCGGTCATGCGGACGTAATATAGAAAATTACCAAATAAAGGAAAACTGAGTGCGAGAATAAAAGGGAAATGAAGACGAGCCTCTCCCACTTTCCGGGCGGAAGACCCGGCCGCCGGCATCTTACCTTGAGGATTTCCAAGGAGTTGGTCACGGTGGCGAGGTGCAGGGGCGTCCTCCCGCGCGCCCGCTCCCGCACGTCCGCCGCCGCCCCGCCCTCCAGCAGCGCCGCGACGACCTCCACGGCGCAGACCTCCACGGCGTAGTGCAGGGCCGTCCGCCTGCCGGAGTCCGTCTGGTTGACGTTGCAGCCTGGAACGAGGGGGGGGGGTTGGGGGGTTGGCTCAAGAGAGGCGTTTCGGTTAAGTAATAGATTTTGATTTCTTTTTTTTTCTTTCTTTCTTTTCCTCTTTTTCTTTTCTTTTCTTTTCTTGCTACTGTTACAGTTAGGCCTTTTTACTTTTTTAATTTTCCTCCTCGCTTCCTTTTTATTTTTCTCTTCATTTTTTTTTATCTATCTTTTATTTTTCTTCCTTTCCTATTCCTTCTTATTTTTCTTCGTCTTCTTTTTCTCCTCCTGCTCCTTCTTCTTCTTTTTCTTCTTTTCTCCTCCTGCTCCTCCTTCTTCTTTTTCTTTTTTTTTCTTCTTTTTCTCCTTCTTCTTTTTTTCTTTTTTTTTCTTCTTTTTCTCCTTCTTTTTCTCGTTCTCGTTCTTTTTCTTCTCTTGTCCTTCCTCCTCTCCTTTTCTTTTTCTTTTCCTCTCTCTTCCTATTATTACCTTAATTATTCTATTACTATTATTATTATCATTATCATTATTAATATGACACAGCCTCATTATCATTTTCATTATTATTATTATAACTATTATCATTATTATCACAATTTTCGGCCATTTTTCCCTTTTCCCTTCTTCTTAGTCTTCTCCCCTTCTTTTATCTGCCTACACTTCTGTTTTTTTTTTTTTTTTTTTTTTAAACTTTCTCTATTACTTACTCTTCTTACTCTTCTCCTTTTCTTCTGCCTCTTCTTCTTCTTCTTCTTTTTCTTCTTCCCCTTCTTTTTTCTTCTTCCTTCTTCTTTTCTTCTTTCTTTTTTCTCTTCTTCTTCTTCTTCTTCCTCCTCTTCTTCTTCTACGTTTTCTTCTTCCTCTTCTTCTTTTTCTTCTTCCTCTTCTTCTTCTCTTTCCTCTTCTTTTTTTTTCTTCCTCTTCTTCTTCTTTTTCCTCTTCTTTTTTTCTGCCTCTTCTTCTTCTTCCTCCTCCTCTTCTACTTTTTCTTCTTCCTCTTCTTCTTCGTCACTATCACACGATATTCTTTCTCCCTCTCTATTGTTATCACATTTTTTTCGTCACTATATTTAACTTTGTAAAATCATGGTTTCCATCATCATAATATTACCATCTCCTTCATCACAATTTTCACCTTTTCCTTCTCGTCACCATCTATTTACAAAACAGATTCTTTCTTTCTTATCTATGTATTCATCTATTTTGTTTGTCCAGTTATTTAGGCTTCGGGACCTCATTAACTTGATGATCATTCGTCAAATATTTAACACAAATATTTCCTTCATGAATCAATAGCATTTTCATACGTTACTGTATTCCTTATCCATCCATTATCGGTTCCATAAGCCGTTTATCGAGCTTATTGTTTATCATCCATTATCGATATTATTCATTCACTGAACACCATTTTTGATCAGAAAAAAAAAATTGTTTCCCCCGATCGTGTATCAGTCATGATCAATTTGTCTGGCGTCTTATTTTTTTTCTTTTCTTTTTTACTATTGTTATAATTTCGATCTGAAATTCGAAAGGCAGCTTCGTTGATCGACTTCCCGTGTTCATTAGCTCCCCAACCTAATTTCGAAACACATTGTATCATGAATTCTCGTTTGATGTTTGTTATCTGTTCGACACCCATGGCGTTCGATCATAAACTAAAATTATTATGTTCAAGTTTAATTAGTTTTGAGTTTAAGATTTAGAACAATTTCCTTTTCTTCATTTTCTCATTAATTCTCTTTGCCAGTTAAACAATCATCATGCACAGTTAGATATGAAAAGTATTTCTATTCATCAGTCTAAACATGGTTTTTCAGTCACTATATATCAAGCAAAGCTTCTTTATCAGGCTTATTCCCTATTCATCTATTGCCATTCTCATCATAATATATTATATGTATTATATGCTTTCCTCACCCTTTTCGATCAGAAACAAAACCGCCGGAAGCTGCCCTCTATCTGCTGCAACGTGCAAGGCCGTCCGCTCCCTGTCGTCTGCAATGTCCACGTCTATGCCTCCTTCTGTCATCAAAGTCAGCATCGTCGTTACATCTCCCGAAGACGCTGCCTCGTGAAACCTCGAAGACGGGGTGGACGCCTGAGGAAAAGGGAAGGGGATATACATTTTTTGAAAACACATTTTGTATTCGTAAGTATTCGCAGGGATATGTGGAGATTTGCTGTGTGAGGAGATTTTTAAGATGTGGGACCGGGGGGGGGGGGAGGGAAAGAAAAGAGGTATATGTTTTTTTCTACATGGAATACTCGTACTCGACGCTCCAGGTTGCTGCTTGAGACATCGGACTCTGTATTTACTTTTTTCTTTTGCTAGACTACCTGATGTATTTCTATCTATCTCAAAGTTTCTTTTTACCTAATGACAATCATTCTAAATGAGGTTCTCAACAAGAATCATGCTCGGGGTCTTTTGTTCGTTATGCGAGCTCCCCATAAACTGAAGCACCATGTTTTCTAAGTAAATCAGAAAGTCTTCAGAGACCATGCTTAAAAGTTCTTATACCTATGAACCATGCTCAGATTCCTACAAGGTTGAAAACAAGCATGCTCAGTATACTACAAGACGCAGAGGGTCATGTACAGAGTCCTACACGTTGTTACTGAATATGTTTGGACTCCTTAAAGCCAAGAACCATGCTCAGAAGGGCAAAGGGTACTTCCAAAGACTCAGGACAGCTACGAGTATCATGCACAAAAAACAGAGGAGTCTTTTACAACGTACGTCACGTATCGATGAGGTGCTATCTTTACTTGTATGTCAGGAAGAAGTTTACAATTGGAATGCAGTTGTCCAAGAAGTGATGGTAAATGTGATACTTTGCAACCTCTCCAAAACCTCTTGAAGATTAGTGTGTTTCGCACAAGGAAGCCGCCTAATATGTAGTACAGTCAAAGTATTACCAAACAAGTTACGCGAACACTGAGCGGAGAGCGAAGTGGGTGAGAGCGGCCTTCAGTCTGTGATGTTACTGTGGGTGAGTACTCGAGGAAACATTCATTATCGCACCTTCACGCGTCCCTTTGACACACTCAGCGCTGACACATCTCCGTTGGAATCTTGCCCAAGGTCTGAGTTATCTTCTAAAGTCTGTTCATCATTTCTTTCTAGGGTCATGCCATCAGCTTCAACAATTATTGGTACCTCTCTTTCGGTTACTTTCTGATCATCCCGACTTTCGTCCTCAGTGCCTACTGCTTCCAGGTCGTTCTCCATAGCCTCTAATGATACTGGCTCAATTTTCTCAGCATCTGCTGCAGCTGGCACATCTTTTACCCTTTCTATTCTGATAGTTACATCTCTCTTGCCATCACCTTCTATCACCATGGGCACATCTTTAACATGGCTTTCTGTCATATTTTGTTGGTTTTGGGGATCGTTTCCTTCTATTGTTATCGGAACATCTCTTGCAGCACTGCATGCCCGCACTATTGGTTCTTCCTTCCCCTCTATGGTAATGGGAATATCCTTGATAACTTTCCCATCAGAAATTCTTGGTACGTCATCTCCTTTCACCAT